GGGGGGGGGGGGGGCGGGGGTGGTAGTACTTAGTAAAACATTACCTCCAAGCGAATGTAATCCGCTTTCTTTGGACCAATGACTTGGCGAATACATTTGCATGTCTTGTAACGATTGTCCATCTTTATCTACCATCGACAGACGATCCTTGTCTTTGTTGTTTAAACGTTTTCTGAACACAAATAAATCAAACGGATACGTCAAATTCATAATATGTCATGAACTGATACGTCCAGCAATTCTCTCGTGCAATGTCTCCGCTTCTCACCTGGTAATGCAAAGACAGACAGACCACATCAATCCAGCTACACTGATGACCATCGCAAATGAACCAACCAATATGTAAATCATACTGTAGTCTGAAGAGAGAAATGATTACACGAAAAAAAATTAAATTACACAAAAAAAGACTACAGAAAAAAAATTAGGACATAAAACTAATTCTCTGCGCCCGAAAATGTAATTATTATATACAACCGATCAAGTTTGTTTAAAATTACTCAAAAAAGATCAGTTGCATAACAATTCAGATTTAAATCGCCCCCATGCATAGTGTGAAATTAACGACGTAATATAATGTGCACGGCTAAAAACGACCAGGTTGTTGCAATGTTGATGAAACAGGATTGAACAATGTTTTGCTGTCTACATTGTTCACAGTTGTCAACAATATTGAACAATATATATATCGTTACACCCGATTCAGGCTCAACAACATTGTTCAATATTGTTGACAAGTATGAACAACGTGGGCAGCAAAACATTGTTCAATCCTGTTAAACAGCGCGGGCTCAGCGTTTTTACGTACGCGTGTACCTTTAATGAGGTCATTATCTAAAGCTTTCCTAGGGTTAGAGATGAACGCAATTTGCGACGTTCGTCTTGAATCTTCTAACACAGGAATTGGAACACACAGGTCAGCGTTGGCGCAGTCCCCAATGTAGCATACTTCGTCTAACATCAATGCAAGGTTGCAGTTCTCCTCGTTGCAACAGATTGCCGCACAGTTCTCGATGCTGTCCACCTGCGAAATCACGGAGAACTTGCCCGCACGCAGGCCGCCTTTGAGAGTGTGGTTGTGTAGGATGTGACTTCGGGAACATCTAGGGTAACGTTTGGACTCCGATTGATCAAGAGTGAGGTCTAGGGATAAAAAAGTTTGTGAGTACGAGACAGTGAACTGTTGCACATTGATCCACGATTTGGCAAGTGGCCTGTGAGCTCTGTATTTTATATCATTTCTCCCAGCTAATTCCAGTGTTTTCTGATGGACCGCATCGCTAATCAAGTTATCACTGAGTTCATAAAACCACAGTATTATTCTTTATATTATAGCCTATATCAAGAAAAGATGGCTGTGAAACTCATTAGAATAACAATATA